ATCACGAGGGACCGAAATGCTCGGGGCATAAGAAGAGAAAGACTCTTGAATCAAGAGAATGATGTAAGAAATATGAGAGCCCAAACCTCTTATTTATAGTAATTGAATTTACAAAAACTACCCTCCATAATTACTTAATGACCTTATAGTTATATAAACGACTAAATACCCCTTCATAATACTATTTTAAATAGATTTAACGATATTTGTACTAAACTAATGTCGAAAGTACTCAACACTAGTCTTATAATAACCGCATCGTCGATACCTTTCTAATGATATATACGTTTGTATATATATGTGTACGTATATATGATTTATACTTTATTTTAATACGCAAATATGCTATTATAATTTGTAACTCGTTCATACGAACTCCATTTTTGACGTTCTTCATATCCACGCGTTGGTATTACGAGTACTACAACTTTCATTTAGACGCCGTCAGCTAATTCTCATTCTATCTCAGATTTACAAAACTGTATCGAATTTATCGCGCTCGAAGAGTAGGGACCAAGTTTCGTCCATATCTTTAACATACGAGCTCTACTCTTGACATTCTTTATATTCACGCGTAGGTAAAAACAAGATCTAAAACTTTCATTTAGACTCCGTCGGCTAATTCTCGACCGATCTTAAATTTAACAGTAGGAGGAGATTATACTATTAAATGTCCACGTAAAATTCATAACTTCTACATACGGACTCCGTTTTTGTCTGTATTTTTACCATTGAGTTCCTATTAATGATATCTTCAACTCTCATTTAGGTCACGTAGGCCAAAAACCGCTCGAACTAAAATTCGAGTTTCGGGCCGTGCACTGCTATGCCAAATCTTAGAAAATTCATAACTTCCTCATACGAAGTCAGATTTGGGCGTTCTTTTTTTGTATGTTCTCGTTTTAACGTATACTACAAATTTTGTTTAGATCACTAAGGATAAAAAGTCTTCTACCGTAAATTCACCACTTACGTCTCCCGGTGCCGTGCCGGTTTTGCCGTAAAACTTCGACGGGCCATAACTTCTTTGTTATAACTCGGATTTCGGCGTTCTTTATATGTACCGAACCCTTGTAAAATATACTACAACTTGGTTAAGATTAATCCTTCTAAATAATCTTCCATCAAAAACTCATTTTTGATGCTCATCGTCTCTAAATTGACTAGCCCCGGATCTGCGGGCGTTACAGCCATGAACTGTTCTCGGTCGTGAATGGTTCACTTGAAGGGTTCACGGTCTGTTCTTGGTGTTCTTGGTGAAATTTGAAGATTTGAAGGGTTCAAGGCTGTACACTCTTCAACAGGGGTTTGCTGATTTTGATGAAAAATGCGTTTTTGAGGCTCCACAACAACACCCAAAGGTGATTTTTGATGATTTTCGGAAGAAAAAGAGGAAATCTTGAGTTTGCGGTTGGGGGGGGGGGGGGTTTAAGAGAGAGAAAGTGGTGTCTTCAGCCAAAAATGTAGAAATGAGGGTGAATCACGTATATATAGGCGGGGGTTCATGGTCGGTGGTGGGTCCACTCAGCCGTTTACGGCCGTGAAGGGTTCACGGCCGTGAACACAATTGCGGCCGTGAACACCGAGTTTACTCGAGACTTGGCTGATTTTCGAAGAAAAACTTGATTTTTCGCACGATTTTAGACCCGACACTTATATAAATCTAATTTATATAACCTAAGTTGTTTTTCAACCCTTACAAGTTTGACAAAAGGAATAAAATTCGAAATTTTATGAACGGGATTTGACTTTCGTTGATTGAAAAGGTTCGGGTTGTCACATCATCCCCCCGCTAGAGGCGTCTCGAAATTCTAAAATGAATACAATTATGAACTAAGGAAAGAGATGTGGATACTTCTGTTTCATCTGGTCTTCGCACTCCCAAGTGAATTCAAGTCCCTGCTTGGCATTCCATCGAACCTTCACTATCGGGATGCGACTTTGTTTCGTTCGCTTGACTTCCCTATCCATAATTTCGACTGGCTCTTCCACGAAGTTAAGACTCTCATTGACCTCGATTTCATCGAGTGGAATCACAAGAGTTTCGTCGGATAGGCACTTTTTGAGGTTCGACACATGGAAAACGGGATGTACGTTGCTAAGTTCTTGGGGTAAACAGAGTTTGTAAGCTACGGGGTCGATCCTGGCGAGGATCTCGAAAGGTCCAATGTATCTTGGATTCAGCTTTCCACGCTTTCCGAAGCGTATCATGCCTTTCCAGGTTGAGACCTTTAACAGAACGCAGTCACCAACCTGGAACTCCAAAGGTTTTCATCTCTTGTCGGCGTAGCTCTTTTATCTATCTCTTAAAGCTTTTAGTCGTTCCCGGATTTGTACGATCTTTTCTGTGGTTTCTCGGATGATTTCTGGGCCAGTGAGAGTGCTATCAGGGACTTGACCTCTAGCTAGCTGCGTATCACCCACCTCAGCCCGACACAGAGGGGATCTGCACTTACGGCCATAGAGGGCTTCGAAAGCAACCTTAATGCTAGTATGATAGTTGTTGTTGTAAGAGAACTCGACTAGCGGTAAGTGGGTATCCCACGACTTACCAAAGTCTATAACGCACATTCTCAGCATGTCTTCTAGGGTTTGAATGGTTCTCTCACTCTGCCCGTCCGTTTGAGGATGGTAAGCTGTGCTCATATCCAACTTAGTTCCAAGAGCCTTCTGAAGTGACTGCCAAAATCTCGTGGTGAATCTGCTATCTCTGCCCGAGATAATAGACACATGCACACCATGCAATCGAACTATATCATGGATGTAAATTCGGGCCAGCCTCTCCATCTTAAATGTTTCTTTCATTGACAGGAAGTGGGCAGAATTCCCGAAGGTCGAAAGACCGTAAACATAAGCTAACTCGTTCAAACTGATATTGAGAACCATGGAGCAGTTCATTCGATCGATCCAGTAAAGGATCCTCTACACCACTGACATGGATTAAATGTACGAAATTTTGGTAATTTCAAAGAATTCGAAAATGATGCGGGAAAGAGATAAGAATAAACTAGAGAGAAAGTATATTCGGGAAAGCAAACCCAAGTGGAAGAAACCAATTCTGGTTGAATCATTGCATCAAAGGGTCTGAAAACGACGTCATCATGAAAAGCCCCAACCGATTTCAGAGCTTCGATGTCGTTATTGTTAAAGGAGCAAGTTTCCTTGTAAGACACAACCTTTTGATCCATGAAATCATCATCGGGAACGACGATGATGCTTGTGTGCGAGCGAGTTGTTTTCTTGCCCATTACTAGAAATGAAGAAAATTAAGGAAAAAAGGAACAGGGAAAGTACCTTCGAAGATATTCAATAACGTCTGGACGCTAAAAGATTAAGGCATAATAAAGAACCTGAATATCCTATTTATGCGAGAATCACAAAAGGTAAGACGGGTGATTTGACAAATAATTATGTCTATTTCAATGGCTAGAAATCTATCCGTTGGGATTCAAATTTATATATTCGTTAAAACTTCTAAATCTTTACTTTACTTTTTATTTATTTAAATTAAATCTTCAAATATTCAGACACTAACCTAAATATCATTTATGTATAATTTGGGGGCAATTGTTAGGGGCAGGATCCTTGAACCCTATTCAGGATCCTGAATTTTCAAAGAACTTTCAAGATCCCAAACATATCACAGGATCCTGACCATTATTACTATCATTTTTAACATTTCTAACGGATATATTTCTAGTCTTTTTCTCACATGTGCAAACATGGTCAACATAAAACTCATTCTCAACAAAGAATCACTTCGACCAGGCTTACGACACGAGAATACCAAGTTAAACAACATGTGAATATTCATTCAAGAGGATCCTGAAAATATCAGACTTATTGTTGTTTAGGCTAGACTATAGATACACGTGTGTAATATGTACACTACATACTCAACTAACTCATCTGCAACATCTATACTTACATTCATATTATTCCTCCATACTCAACAATTCATATCAATAAAAATAACAAGGTATCTGATTATTGTCACCTCCAACGTTTTATGTCAGAGATCCTATCAAGGATCAATGGCTTTCCATGTAAACCATTTGTGTCACATACTCTTACTTTGCTCACTTATTTTAATTACAACATCACAGCCTCTCATACAAATTGATTAATTTACATTTGATTAACTTTTGATCAAAACAATATATATATATATATATATATATATATATATATATATATATATAAAACTTGATAATAAATTTTCATAAATGCTCCAAACAATTTGATTTTCTTTATAAATGCCCTATAATATTATAAAAGTATTATTTATATATATTTAATATATATATATATATATATATATATATATATATATAGATATATATATATATTATATATATTAATTTTTATTTTTAATAAACTCATTTAGTATACAAATTTTACACATAGGTATTTAACAAAAATATATAAAAGAAAAACGAGATCACAAGTCGAGACAAGTTGAAGCATCTACGATTTATATAACTTTTAAATGTTAAAATATTAAAAATGATAACCAATTTTAAAGATTATTTTAAAAAATCCTACTTGGCAAAAGTATTTTCAAAGTAACATGTTTCTAGAATAGAAACAAACTACTTTTTAGGAAAAAGCAAACGCTAATAAACTTTACATCAATGTAGGTGTAAACTGACATAGAATATTTATAATTTTAGTATTAAATTGTCGTTTTAATATCCATATCGTATAGAATAATGAAAAGGATGTTATTTCGATTAAAATATATAAGAAATTAAATATCCTCCTATCTTTTTGATCCTATGTATCATCCTACCCAATTAAATGGTGACATGTGTAATATTTAATGTCGATGGGTAAGAGGATTAGTAGGAAAAAAAGGTAGGAGGATATTTAATTTCTCAAAATATATACCATCGTTCGTTCTCATTTACAAATATAACCCCCTACATCCCCACATCCCCACCGATTCCCGTCCATTCCTAAAGGAATCCAAACCAAACCACCACATCTATTTCTAAATCATGTCGACAAGTCTCGCCGACATCCATCCACACATCATTCAGACTCACATCTTACCACGCCTCGATGGTCCATCTCTCCTGTCCACGGCAACCACATCCTCATATCTACAAACCCTGTGCGCCGATGACAATCTTTGGTCTCATATCTGCAGATCAACATGGCCTTCAATCCTCGACCCACGTCTGGATCACCTCATCTCCACCTTCCCCGCCGGTCACCAATCTTTCTTTCAAGACTCCTTTCCGGCTCTAATCACCGACGTCAACCACTACAACACCATTCTTCCCTCCACCTGGTCTTCTTCAAAACCAAATTCATCGTTATGTTCATCTCATCCTTGCACATCTGAACTCATCTCAGCCATTGATATATGCTACCAAAACGACATTATTTACTCAAGAGTTGAGTTCACCGATACCACACATGATTTTCTTTGGTCTCCGTTTTGGGTTGAATTAAAGGACGACCCACCTATCAATAGATTGATACCTGGAATCTCCAGATGGATCGACCTGAAAGTCGACGAGCTTTTAGGAGCCAACAAAGCAACATTATTACACCTGAAAGAATATCTTACATTAAGCTGGATCCTAATTGACCCGACCCGGAAACAGGCAGTTAACTTATCAAGCATGAGACCGGTTAGTGTAATGCAGCACTGGATGACTAATGATAGCCTTCTCGAGTACGTCACCGTTTTACCCGGGTGTTTTCTGGATGACATGGTACAATGTAGAATAGAGGTGGCATTGGGTGTGGGTGGTGGAGGGGTGGGATTGTATATGAAAGAAGTGGTATTAAAATTTGAGGACTTGCATTGTAATTGCTTAAATGGAAAGGAGTTTTTGGTAATTTTACAAAGCGTAATTTCGGAAGAAACTAATGTGAGAAGGAAAGTGGTGGACGATGATGAGGAGAGATGGAGGTCTTACAGGATGTTTAAGGAGATGAAAATAGAGAAAATGGCATGGGTAAGAAAGGAAGAAGAAAAGAGGGAGTTAGCCGTTAGGGTTAATTGTATTGGCATGTTGGTTTTTGTTTATCTTTTCTGTTTATTGTTTAATTATATGCAGCATAATCAGACATAATATGAAAAGTTATATATCATAAATAATTGTACAAAACTCTTTTCAAATTAAGGTTAGTGTGAATTTCAAATGATGAAAATCAAAATTTAAAACACTTCAATAATAAATGATATAAATGATAACATATATTGGAAATTTGACTTTTTTTGAACATATTTTGTTACTTAAGTTACGATGATGTTCAATCGCCCCCCCCCCCCCCCCCCCCCCCCCCTGTAGTTTTCATTCTTTTGCAAATTTGCCTTTTGCTACACTCAGCTCCCCATTAGTCCGTTTCGTTTGTTGATTGGAACTCCCTTAAATGAGTCATGTGGTTGTCGTCAAAATGAAGACTTCTACAGGATGTTCATGACGAGCCCTAACTTACAGGTAGGTTCATCTTCCCTAAGAATTTGTGTTTTTCCTGGGGTTTTTAATGGGCTTTACCATTCCTTATTCGCGTAGGATCGAGGAATATGACTTGTGATTATTTTAAATGGCTTGAACCAGAACTCCCTTGCAAGTGGTATAAGATTTGTCTAAATAACATGCACATGAAACTACAAAATTGTCATTACGTTATAACATTTGAAGAGGATGACGTCAAAGCATGGTTTAAGGAGGAAAGGGATGAAGTGAAGCAGAAGTTAAAGCAAAGCAAGTAGTTGAATGTTGTTCTTGTACAAGTCATTCTATTCTGGGTGTGTTATTTATTTATTGTCAAGTTAAAACTTTGTAGTCCATGGTTGTATAATGGCTTTTGTAGGCGGTATTTGATTCCATACATCATATCAGTTGTTGTATCGGTTATATATGGCTTTAGTGAAATGCAATATATGCAATGATTTTTCTCACTTTCTTTAGCAGCTAAACTTTTCAAAAGCTACTAGTAAAAAAAAAAAAAAACTATTACATGGAAATTAGAGGGTTCTTAACCTATTAAGACCAATATGAACTCTTCGATCCTACTAGAAAACCACAAAAAAGAATAATCTACCACCATATCAAAAATCAACTCCTCTCATTCCCCTTTGCCATTTTTCACTTTTGATATATGATTTTACTTGTTCTATTGGTTTTGACACAAACATGATATTATGTTGTTATATTAAGCATAGATATATGAAAAGTGTTAAGAGTTTTATAAAAAAAATAGTCTAATTTTAGTGTCAAAACTACATGATTAGCAACAAAAGCATTTTAAGATTTGAATAAACTTAACACTATTTTAACTCATCAATGATCATTTTGCAAAACATGAAAAGATTAAAACCATAGTAAGGAAAAGACTAACTTTTGAGGACTTTGATTCCTTTTAGGAGGTTAGAAGTTGATGAAGAATGTAGCTGTAGAACTCCATGCACCTAAGTAGAAACACCAACAATACTTCAACTTGATAAGATGTTGGTCTTGGATTCTTGTAACAATAAGAACACTCTTAAGATTTAAGTCAAAACTCAAGTAACGACTTAAAGGGAGTCTGCAAGTATCAAACTTTTCTTCTAGTTTCTTAACACTTTTAAGAAATTCATAAAGAGAGAGAGAGAGAGAGAGAGAGAGAGAGAGAGAATAGGACGACTTTTGAGAGTAAAAAGAAGCAACGAAAGAAAACCCAATCTCTTCCTTTTTTTTACTTGAAATATCTCTAATGATAGTCTTTTGACTCATACCTTCAATATGATAAAATGAAGAGTTAATAAATCAATCGTCTATAAAATCAGAGTTAATATGAACACGAGATGTAAATAATCTTGATTCGGCTCATATTATCCGGAGAAAGTACAAGTAGATTTGAGAGAAAGAAAGCACAATGCACAAGTTGCAAAAGTTCCAAATGACTTAGGTACCTACACTCTTTATAGTGTACTCGACATATGCAAAAAGTGTATCAGGACATCGATAGTTAAAGAGAATCTACATAAGCGACTGATAAAATACATATAGTATTGAAGTCATGAAGACCTTCAATGATGACAAACTATTCGACACTTCAACTACTTCCAAAAACTTCGATATATCACAACATTTTTGACACTACAATCCCACCCTTTTTTATCAATATAGAATCTTGAAACTGTAGGTAGCATCTTTATCACTTGCAACAAAACTCTTCTTATTTCAATGTACGAAACGATAATCCTCCTTATCTCCGCTCTGTCTTTATTGGAATTCTTCTTGTATTTGTTGATCAGGAGAACGATACTAGAAAGATTCTAATTTGAATACCTTTTGTTATCGTCAGTATGGAATACATATTTCTTTTTACCTCCCTTCATGTTCTTTCCTTGAAAGACAACACCCTGATGTTGATTGATGATTTCACCATCTTCATAATCATCAATATTCATTTTCCCTTTCAACAATAACTTTGGAACCTTTGGCTTTTTCTTGAAAGAAGTAGCAAACTCAAAGTCTGTTATCACTAGATGAGCAAAATAACAGTCTAAGAAGCTTTTGATATGACTATACCCAATGATGTACGAAGCTTTATCTTGAATTTAATCATTATTCAAATTTCCCATAATCTTTGTAAAAGTGATGAGAACATTCAAGTTCATCAAGGGAAAGTCAGTAGTGGTGAAGTAAAAAAGAACATTGTTAGCTCTAAAAACTTTATATCGATTATTTTAAATGACTCCTTCGAACATAACATCAGGAGTTATCAATACAAGTTTAATAATTTTCACCAGTGACCATACATCTTCTTCTTTCTTTCCAAAAAACAGCATGAAATCGAATCTTCATACTTTTAAATTCTTTAGTATCATGAAATTCTAAACAAGCTTGAATTGAGAAAATGTGAACATTGAATGATTGAATGGAAATCCCATTGATTAAAATCCGAGACTTCGATGTTGTAGCTTTTCTTTGGCCTTTACTCAAACGCATTGGCTTCGCCATAAGCCATAGTCTCAATTATTTCATAACACCACACCTTATTTGGATCTCCCTTGCAAGACCATCTGGGTTATTTGCTCTCATTCTCATAATGTTGTTAAGGTGATTCATTCTCTCAATTTCAAGCTCTTGAAATCTCTTTTTCTCTTCTCCAGTAGTCTCCACTTGAACACCTTTTCCCTTTGGTTCTGAGGTTGCAGCAGGTTTAACAATAGAAGAACCTGTAACATCCCAAAAACCATGACAAAAAAATTCATTTTTATTTATTAAAATAACCATAATTATCAAATCATTTCATCCAAAAACATAAGTCATAGTATCACATCAAAACTCATATCAATATATCAGAGTGAAAACATCTCAAGCTAAACATCGTGGTGTGTGTAATATAGTCATCCCGAGCTCTTCCCTTTGCTACCGAAAGTACCTAAAACCAAAACTGAAAACTGTAAGCACGAAGCTTAGTGAATTTCGCCCAAACTACCACACACCATACACATAATCGTTCTACTAGGAGTTATGGGCCCCGCCCACACTCAAGGAGATACGGGCCCCGCCCACACTCAACAAACTAGGAGATACATGCCTCGCCCACACTCGCATGACGAGCCCTGCCCAAACGAGATATAGGCTCCGCCCACACTCGCATGACAATGAGATACGGGCCCCGCCCACACTCACATAATAATGAGATACGAACCCCGCCCACACTCACATACGTAAACAAACACACACACATGTATCACACAGACAACAAGTATTACAACCTACCAAACATACTACTAACCATACTCAAGTACTGATGAGATACGGGCCTCGCCCACACTCTATGAGATACGGGCCTCGCCCACACTCTGTGAGATACAGGCCTCGCCCACACTTTATGAGATACGGGCCCCGCCCACACTCAGCTAATAATGAGATACGGGTCTCGCCCACACTCACATTCCTAACAACACATACATGTATCACACATACAACAAGTATAACAATCCAACAATCTGATTGATATCTATACTCAGGTAATAATGAGATACGGGCGCGCCCACACTCCGTGTTCCTATCAAGAATATATAACCTACACGGGCCGACATTGGTGCCTTCGACCCGTTCAAACCAGGAGGAAACTCACCTTTCACTGCTGAAGTCCCGCGAATAAATCTCCGCCTGCTGGCTGACAGATCCCCGAACTGTCAACATCAAAACAAAACCCAATTAACCATTTGGGGTTCCAATTCATAACCATAAATCCATACTTGGGGTAAAAGGACCATTTTACCCCTATCCGAGCTTGGTCCAAGACCAAGGCCCAAATTCACACTCTGAAGGCCCAAAAGCCAAATAATCAACCAAGGCCCAATTATGGCCCAATTTTCAAAATTGGGCCCAAACCCCTCACATGCGCCTTACCCTAAAGCCCATCCAAATATTCTAGTCCATATACTTGTTCTTGTACGACCCATCAATAGCCCAGTCACCAAAGCCCAACAGAAAGGCCCAACTCGAGACCCAAGCAAAATTAGGGTTTTCACATAAAATGACGATTAGGGTTAAGTGTTCTTACTTAACCCATTAAGGACTTAATCCATTAAGTCCATCACTCCACTAGGCCAAACATGCAATGTAATCGGGCAAGTCATACTTCAATCCACTGGTCCAACGCGGGTACCGACAGGTCCAAACTAAAATTTCCAAGATTAGGCTTTTCTAAATCCTAATTAGGGTTTCCAATCCAATCACAAGCCAACTTAGTCCAAGATTAAGCTATTGGGACGATTAGGGTTTCACTATGTCGAGCACTACCCATTGCCACCTCGGGCAGTGGTGGTCGACAACGGCTCACGGCGGCAACCACCACATCACGGTGGTGGTGGGGGGGGGGGGGGGGGGGGGTTTCCTTGGCTTTTCTCCGGCCAAAACACCCAATCAACATCCCAACATAGAGGAAACGCACTCACGCACACCTAATGACACACATACAGCCACCACCTCATGGTGGTGGCTGTGGGTTTTTTGTCCAAATAATGCACATACCACCACACTAATTCCGAAAGCGGGCCTTTCATACGAATACATACGCGCTCAGCCACCTACAAGGCGGAAGAACATCTCCGAAATGCGAC